GGACATTTTTCACCATGTAGCTCCTGTTTGAACCAGTGTTAGTAAACTGGTTCCAGTCTGGATTCAGTCAGTTCAGTGGTTTAACCAGAGTGTGGTTTCTTAGGCTTCACCAGAGGKTTAAGTCAGGTTAGGTTAAGTTAAGTCAGGGTTGTGACTCAGCTGGTCACAGTGAAGGCACATGGTCAGACACACAGAGCTGTCAGAGTTTGGGCCTCCAGCCCTGGATGAACTGACTGATTTTGGTCACATGYAGTCGGCTCAGGTGGAAGTCATGTGACAGGATGTCCTCGGTCAGCTGCACCAGGAGGCTGCCGTCTATTCGCTCTCTCTGGAAGACCTCCACGGCTGCCTCAGGTAGGCCGATGAAGCGCAGGCACGCCGACACTTCCTCCAATGAGAGCGTTGACAGGTCAGCAGGTGGTCTCCAGGTKGGGTCAGGAGGTGACGCTGATCCTTCTGCAACGTTCACTGATGTTCCACCACCTTCTGCACCTCTGGAGGCATCTGCGGTGGGATTAGCAGCGGGCTCAGGCGAGGGGCACGGGGACTGACGGTTAAAAGGGTTCAACGCTCCGAAGGGAGCGAAGCGACTCTGAGGGGGCGGCGGCCTGAGGCGAGGGGCGGATGGCGTGAAGGAATCTGCCCAGGTGACCTGCACTGGCTGAGAGCTGGACGAGTTGTCTGCAGGGAAGACGGGGACTTGCTCCGGACTGGCTGCATTAGGAGCAGGACAGTCTGCCCAGGAACATGGGTAACAGTAGAGGGCGGAGTCAGGAGAGGGCGAGCAGCTGGGACACACAAGGACAACATGACGTTAGAGATTATTTATAATTAACTTTAAAACATATCAGTTCTCTTCAAAACAAGATCAACTGTGGATCAAAACACAATAATAACTAAAACCCAGAGCTGGAAACAGTTCTGCTAATCTGCTAACAGCAGAACTAGCTTCTTATTTAGCACATTAGCTTTTTTGCTAATTTGGGGGGTTCTCAAGCCATTTGGGTCTGAGGACCCCTTACAATGGCAAAAAAGAAAAATTCCAGGGACCCCCTCATAAACCCCCTGCTGTTTTAAAAGATAATTTATTGTCATTTCAACCCCTAAATGCCATGGGAACATATATTTTTATTAAGTTTATTATGTTTGTTTCATTAGTTCATTGTTCTCCATGTATTTTTAAAAATAAAAACCAAATTAACATTTTAGTAAAAAATTTTGAGGACCCCCAAGATACAGTACCTCTCGCAGACCCCTGGGGGTCCAGGAACCCCAGTGTGAGTACCTCTGTGTTAGTGGACTGATTAGCTTCCACWAAATTGTTAATTTTAAGTCCCCTAAAATTCACAAGTGTAAAAATGTTTGTTTTTCTGCCATTTATACCAAAGTAAATAAAATGATGAAGCACCATGTGCATGTCTTTATCAGCTAACTTCAAAATAAGAGCCTCAAAAACAAATAAAATTTAACAGCATTTAAACAACAAATACAAAACCTATGAAAAAGAATGTATTTAATATTTTTATAAAAATACAAACTCAAAGCATTGCTTTTATTCTGAAAGGGTTAAACTAGAAGTATCAGGACTAAAACTCTGGTTTGGATTGGCCAATTTACCACAAATGATCCCGCCCACCTTTTAAATTAAACCAATAGAAAAGTAAGAACAGTCCTGCTAACTGACTTAGCAGCTGTGTGTGTGTGTGTGTGTGTGTGTGTGTGTGTGTGTGTGTGTGTGTGTGT